TTATGGACCTCTTCTCTGTAGCGTTGCTCCGTCAGCTCAGCATACCCTCAATAATAAACATGCAGGCATTATCATTATTAGCGGTTATCAGGCCCATAGAATGGCTCAGATTGTGCCAGTAGGCTCAGTAGTTTTCACCCAGTGAATTCTAACACTAAAGTCATTCCTTTTCCCCCGCGGGATTAATTAATCTATTTATGTGTAATCTGACAATAATTCCAGTAGATCTTCATGTACTGTAAAATAAATAAAATAATCTGCATGTCATTCATGTTTAACAACCTAAAAACAAATAAATTTCATATCCTGTCACTGGGTTGTAGAATCCTCTGCCTATAAATATTTCATTCTCTGTGGAAAAATGCAGATCTTTCTTAAATAAGATCCTCATGTAACAGAAATGTTTGTTTTTAAACCTAATGTGTCTATTGCACCCAGTGAATGATTATTTTGTTGTTTTATGCACAAACTACAACAAAACCCTGAGTAAATAAAAGTGTTCTTGGATGTAAGAGATGTGAGAGCAGAGAGAAAGGAAACTATGTAAAGGTGTTACTCAGGGTATGCTGGCCTGACGCCGTATGCTGAGCTGACAGAACACAGACAGATATCAGACCCTACAATCTGCCGCCATCTGCAAACTTTCAGCCATGATTTTTTTGTAGATATCTGACCAGAAACGTGTGAAGAGGGCGGGACAGAGAACAGAACCCTGAGGTGTTCCGGGTCAGTGGAGCAGAACCAGTTTCCCTGATCTTCATCATCTGAAGCCTGATGATGAGGAAGCAGGAACCAAGTCCTGCAGATTAACTCAGGTTAGAGCTTCATGTCAGAAAGGATAGAGCTGCAGCATCCAGACTGTCTTAATGAGACGTTATATCATCAGATCTGAGAAAAGACAACTTTCTATAATTGATTCATTTTAAATGAAACCATTGGGATCTTCTCAAACACTCTTTAATGAAATAATCTCCAAGTTTGATCATTTTGCTGTTTTCATTGCTTTTAATAAACAGCTGGTCCCCATAAAACGGTGGCTGACGACTTTATTCATCTGCATCTGTGTTTTTCTTTCTTTCTATGCTTTGCCTGATTTTCTCCACTGTGAGATCAATAAAGTCAATCAATCAATAATCTGTGATGCATTTCAATTTATTTTAGATTTATTCCAGATTGGTTCATGTTTCTGAGGAAAACCAGCTGACTGCTTCCGTTCACTACAGAAATTGCTGCTTCATGTCATTAAAATATTGCTGTGAAACATGCAGAAAAAACATTTAATCAAAGACTCAAAGGATGTATTTAAAAACCATTTTCAATGACCTTAATCGCCCTGAAACTGTTATATTTTCTGTGCTGAGTGAAAATGAAAAGGTCAGAACCATGCAGACCGTCCTGTCCCCCCCCGCCTCTCCAGGGTGAGTTCCTGCATGTTCAGACAGGTTGAAACCTGCGACTCCGTCTTTCCTTCAGGAAATGTTTTGTCATTTGAAGCCAGATCCTTCTGCTCCCAGACTTTTTAAAGACCTTTTTGTTTTCTATGGCCTCTTTCTAATACCTCTTTTATCTCCAAAGGCAGTTAATAATTACAGCTTTTT